GTCCCTCTGCCGCTGCCTCTGCCACTCGCAAGAGCAGGCATAGGCACTTGGTTGGGAGTGGCACAGCACAGCGCCTCTCCCAGCCGCGGCTCCTGTGCCTGCCCTTGCAAGAGGCGGGCAGCGGCCTTTCTTGCTGCTCATCCCTCTGCCGCTGCCTGCCTCACTCAAGTATAAGCCGAGGCAGGCTTTTTCAGCATAAAAAATATGCTGAAAAAGTCGGCTTATATTCAAGTATATACGGTAAGTGCTCTGCATCCCCCCATTTCATGAACTGGTTGGATGCAGAGGAATGGTGGGAGGAACAGGCTGGGAAACAACAAGAAGGCTCAGAGCCCCGGGAGTGGAGGTGGGACAATGATGAGTGGTCAGAGGGAGAAGAGGAGGTGTCGGAAGCTGAGGAAGTAACAGGGTTTAGTGAGCTGGGAGACTCTGTGGCAGAAAGAAGTCCAGAATCAGAGGCGGAAGCTGAAGCAGGAGGGTGGGAGGAGAGAGTTCAAGAGGCAAAGAAGATTCAGGCTGGTGATGATCCATGGGTGTCTTGCCCTCCTGCCAAGACAAGCTCCCCCTCCCCCCATTGTCTTCCAGAACCAGAAGAGTCATGAAAAGGGCAATTAAAAGATTAGTAGCACCCAGATGCAGCCTCCAATTGCTTGTGGGGGGGAAACCCTGGAGAAGAGGGGAGTGGGGGGGGACCCTGGAGAGGAGGGGACTTAGGCAGTGGTGGGAAGGTAGGGACCTTCAATCTCAGTGACTGCTTCATCTGGGGGCAAGACCTACTAGGGAAGGGTTGCTGTGCTCCTTAGACTTGACACTCTACCAAGCCTGTGCAGTCTGTGGTTTTGCTAGTAAAATGTCAACTCCAACTTGCACTGTGTGATTTACTGCTGGCTGGCTCGTGTCAGACATCAGTTTTTGAATTTGTGCAATGTTTGGCATGTGGGTACCTCTGGCTTTTTCGGTGCTCTCCTGTTGCGACCTTTCCCCCTGGTATCGTATTCATTTAATTGATGCTGCAACATTTCACACTTTTGTGAGTCACTTGGGGGGATTTGTATGCCCAAAGGCCAGTATGCAAGATCTTGGAAACAAATGATGCCCTGCCCTTTTTAGAATGGGAGTATTCCTTCTGATGCTCAAGAATTTTCCAAGGCAGTTAGACCCAGTTAAGGATCACTAAGAGGCAGTGAGGTGAGTCAGGGGGAAGATGTAGATTTAATACAGTGGTACCTCGGGATATGAACGGGATCCGTTCCGGAGCCCCGTTTGCATCCTGAAGTAAACGTAACACCGCTTCTGCGCATGTGCATGACATCATTTTGAACGTCTGCGCATGCGTGAGCGGCAAAACCCGGAAGTAATGCAATCCGTTACTTCCGGGTCGCCACGGAGCACAACCCGAAAACTTGAAGCTACTTTAACCTGAGGTATGACTGTATGTGTCTTGTGTGCATTATGTTTTTAGGTATTATCTATACCCCTCCACCCCAAGCAATCCAATTAAGTGTATTCTCCTCTCCCTTTCCTTGGCTGCAGTCCTCCAGTTATGAATCGAATCAGTTCTGCATTCCACAAAGCAGAGTGGAGGCTGTCCCGTGAGGGTTAACTGTGCATTTCCCACCAAACTCAGCCACACCTGAGGGTTTCCTTTCTCCTTACATACTACCAGTCCATATAGAGGCCCAAATTGTCAGCTTCCTCTCCATCCATCTCAGTGTCATCCTTGATGTCAGGGACCGTGCTGAGGAGGGCTGCACTAAGGAGGCATGGTAGGAGCCACCCCCACCCCTGATCCTGAATCTTCCCAGGAACAGGAGGACAGCGTAGGTTTGGAACAGTGGTTTGCAGAGGGGCATAGTTCAGAAGGCAGAAGCTGGGAAATACTGGATGGGGAACAGCTAGAACAGGGGTAGGCAACCTAAGGCCCATGGGCCACAAGCGGCCCACAGGGGTCATTTAACTGGCCCACGAACCGCTCCCAAACCGAGCTGCTCGCTCGGTGAGTCCCTGCACGCTGCACTAAACCGGGACAGTGACTCACTTCCGTGGTGCCAGAAATTGCATCTGCGCAAACGCCAGAAATCGTGGGCACACGCGCTCATGTGCACGTGTGATCCGGCCCACAGAGGGATCTCCGCTGGAGTGAACCGGCCCAGGCAAGGTAAACCTTGCTGATCTCTGAGCTAGAAGAAGAAGAAACACTGGGGAAGAGATGGTTGACAGCTTCACAGTCGTTGGACAGTATTCCCCCACCGCCCTCCCCAAGGCTGAGAAGAGTCTCAGAACAGAAAGCACAGAGGATAGAAGCTCAGATTACAAGACGTAGGAGTGACAAAGATTACCATACTTTTCCGTGTATAACACGCCCCCCCCATGTATATGACGCCGCCTATTTTGGGGGACTAAAAATTAAGAAGATGGGGGAGAGATTGCCCAGAGTTGTTGAGATTTTTGTTTTGGGAGGGTTGCCGAAAAATACTCACCTGCCTGGCCGACACTAACACTTCCCCGCCTAATTGCCACAGCAACAACCAATCAACACCACCCCTTGCCACAGATAATAACACGCTGCAGACCACCTCCTCTATTTAATTTTTGTGTCCTGCCCTATCCTACTAGCTCAGGGGCACTAAGAGATGTTTTAATGAGACCCAGGTATCCCGATGAGTTTGCCATTCTATTCCATGCTCAGGTAACCCCGCTTGTACGAAAAGTACCAGGAAAGATGGAGGAATACTATTTAAGTTACCTCTTGTCTCACTGGAATCCCTATGTCACCAGAAATGTAGCTAGAAAGGTACAAACAGGCATTCTCCATTGCAGTGTGCAATTAAACAATTATACTTAATATTCCCTCCAGCCACTTTTGCCTCAGGCATGTTCCCTCCTCTCTCTGGAAGAGACTGAAGCACATGCTGTGATCTCCTTTCATAGCTGCCCTGTCGACCTGAAATTTGCAATCAACCTCAGCACCGCCTGTCTCACCCAGAGCTCATGATAACATTAAAAGGAATACTGAATCTTAGAAAGCAACTTTGCTCATGTAAGAGTGTGGCAGTGTGAACTGCATGCAAATTAAGCTTGATTTTCAATTGATTATGATGGTATTTTGGGGAAGCAGGTTTGTTGTGCTTCTCCAAATCAGCTTTAATTGTGCAACCTGAATTTTCCGCTATGTGACTGAACCCCGCCCCAAAATAGCAACAGTCTGGAAGCTTTCACACTCAGTTGGGGGAGGGAGGTCACAAACAGAATTATTATTATTATTATTATTATTATTATTATTATTATTATTATTATTATTATATACCCCACCCATCTGGCTGGGTTTCCCCAGCCACTCTGAAGCACTTAATGCAAGTTGGACCATTTTTATTGATAAACAATAGAAAAGTCTAGGTTCTCCTTCCCACCCCCTCACTTACCTATTGCCTCTTACTCACTCTAAAGAGATTCTAACTGCCTAAGAATATTTCATCACAAAGAACAGCCACATTCTCAAAGGGCAAGGACATTCTGTAGGGAGTGACAAATCTTTCCATTTCACTTCCTTATCTTTCTGATCTTAGTTCTCCACATTTCCACATCAGCTTGCGAATTCATGTAATGTTTGACTGGTGTGTATATCTGGCTTTCTAAACGATCTTCCATGGTGACCATCTTCCATTGTATCATATTGTGTTATATCACACTTTTGCAAGTCGCTTAGAGTGCCTTCATTACAGATCTATAGGCACCAGGCATTCCTCTTCTTCAAGGTCTTTGGCTAATGAAACCATCTATGGCCTTTTAAACACTGGGGAGGGGGATTTGGGTGTTGTTGCTGTTACTATGTTATGCGTTTTTTATATTGTAAACCACCCAGGGATCCTCAGATGAAGGGTGGCATGGAAATTTAATCAATAATAATAAATGAATAAATAATGTATAAAACTGCATTATAGGAGGGAAACTGCTTTGCAAAAATGTGGGAAATTGCATACAAAAATGTGTATATTTAGATAATTTCACACTAAAGTGCTGGTGAATTTTTGTGGGGACTTAAAAACAAACAAATTACCGGTAGTAACTGATGTGAAAATGGGGAGAACTAAGCTTTGAAATGGGGACAGGGGTGGCGCTGTGGGTAAAAGCCTCAGCGCCTAGGGCTTGCCGATCGAAAGGTCGGCGGTTCGAATCCCCGTGGCGGGGTGCGCTCCCGCTGCTCAGTCCCAGCGCCTGCCAACCTAGCAGTTTGAAAGCACCCCCGGGTGCAAGTAGATAAATAGGGACCACTTGCCAGCGGGAAGGTAAACGGCGTTCCGTGTGCTGCACTGGCTCACCAGATGCAGCTTTGTCACGCTGGCCACGTGACCCGGAAGTGTCTCCGGACAGTGCTGGCCCCCGGCCTCTTGAGTGAGATGGGCGCACAACCCCACAGTCTGTCAAGACTGGCCCGTACGGGCAGGGGTACCTTTGCCTTTACCTTAAGCTTTGAAATAGTGAGAAGCTTGTGAGAAAGACATGGGCAGATACACTGATCCTTACAGAATGTTTTTGTCCTTTTAGAATGTGGGTCTTCTTTGTTATGGAAAAGGATATTCTAGGGCAGTTAGAACCCATTTGGAATGAGCAAGTGGCAATGAGGTCAGTGAGAGATGGAAAGGGGCATGCACAGGCAGTTGTTTATAGATCAAGGTATGTACATTATGTTTTTAGGCATTATCTGTGTCCTCTTTCACTCTTCTGCCCAAACCATCTGAGTGTGGGCATTTCCAAATTGTTTAATTTGCCTGCGCACAAATTTGTGAACACACAAAATATCCTGCCAGGAAAAGAATAAAATTGAATGTATGGTCCCGAAACCACTGCCATGATTATTATCTAAGACTGCAATCCTGTGCACACGTATACCCATCATCTGATAAGACCTCCGCAGGCACAGCCAGAAATCCTTCGGCAACCTCCTCCTCATCAAATCCTTCCCTCTTTCTCTGTGGCAGATCTCCTTCCATGGGAATAACTGTAGCATGCACAGGATGCAGGGAGGGAGAAGCTGGCAGGTTGTGAATTCTCCCTCAAAGACAAAACCTTTGGCCTCCTCTCTAGCAACAGCGGCAACCGTGATCCTTACCCTGCTTTGCAAAGGTGAGTGTGATGTGCAGAATAGTCACTGTAGAAGTCCCATGTCACTTTCTGATTTCTCCAAGTCATATTACTCTCTTTGGTGTCCCACTGCTGTTCCTATCACATTCTCTTCCCATTTCAAGTGAAACTGATGGGACTTGTTACATGTTCTGTTCCTGTCTTTTGGGCTTGGTGATAGGAATGGGGGAGAAGAGGCAAAATACAGATTATGGAGGAAGTTGTATGGAAGACAGCAGGCAAGTGGGGGGGGGGTCAGCTGAGGACAATCTGAGGTTGATGGGGAAGTGCCCCATTCCTCCTAATGGACCAGCCACCACTGCTCCTGTCTGTTTGTTTTGAGGAGCCCTCAGCAGAGTTGAGAAGAAGCAGATCAAGCAGTGGTCTGGAAAAGATAACTGGATCAAGGTATGGACAGATAGGGAGTGTAAATCCTACCAAAGCGCAGGAAGCAGGAAGCAGGAAGCAAGAGCAATCGGAGAGAAAAGGTGTTCAGCACCCTGGACAGTTCACAAGAAAGTTATTATTAAAGCAGTGGTAGCCAGAGTGGTTCTGGACTCCAGATCCCATCATGCCTGACTATAGGCCATGCCAGCTGGGGTGATGGGTTCAAGAACGTTTGGAGGGGACATATTTTATATGCCAAGGGTCTTGGTTACAATCACCAGCACCTCTATGTAAAAGGTATCAGGTTGCATACCTCTGCCTGAGATCCCGTTGGGCTGTTTCCACTCAGAGCAGACAACAGTAGAGAGGGTATAGCAGAACTCTGGAGTTCTGGCTCAATTTTCAAAACTATAATCAACTGGGGTAAAAAGTGTGGTAACATTTGCACCATCACCAGGAGGTCTAAAATGAAACATTTAGGATTTAGGGAAGGTCTCTTTGCAGTGGCAGAGTATATTCACAACCAGGTGGCTTAGCTGGTGCTCCTATAGCAGATAATATAAGTGGATTAAATGCTTTGGGTGCTGGAAAAAGTGAGGAAGGTAAATGGTCCTTAGCCCTGTTCTGAGATACAAAAAAATGGGGGGGGGGTTGTTGCCTTAAGAAGGGATCTCCTCTTGTTAAAGCCAGCCAAGGCCACAAAGGTAGACTGTAACGGCAAGAGGAGGTGGTAAAAAGACTACAATAAAATTGGCTCTGTGCACATCAAATGGAGAGGATCTGGCTATGGCACACAATACAAAATCTGAGTTTTCTTGGTGGTTTTTCAGGGTACACATCTTGAGTACCCCAGTTGCTTAGTAAGTATCTGTTTCACAAAACAGTTTGAAACTTGTTTTACTGTCATGGCTTTCTGTAAAGAACTATAGGAATGGAAACTTTGGTGAGGCTGCTGGTAACTCTTTTGTGGTGTCTCAGACCCTTTTACAGAATGGCAGTTCCTAGAGGAATGTGCAGCTAGACAGGAGCACGTTGAATTTATGTTCTCGAAATTTTATTTGGAACCATGAGGGCTAGAAACCTTGAAACTCTGAAAGCAGAGGTTCTCAGTGTTGTAGCACTAAAATGCCTTAGGAGCTTACACATCGGCTGCATGTTGCCCCCCTATTGTACTAGACTCTACTATTTTGCCCAGAGCTGGGAATAAAAAAAACCCAAGATTTTTGGGTTCTAAGATAAAAAGGGGGGGACAGTGGAGTGGATAGAAGGCAACTTCTTGTGAATGACACTCACCCCTAAAAACATTCTGCTTTTCCCTGCTGTAAACTGAAATGAAGACCAGTGGATGATTCCTGCAGACTTCTCTGGTCCACTGAGTGAGACTACCCTGAGAGGGGACACATGGTGGTCACATGCCCTGTTTTACAGAGGGTAGTCCCCACAATGTAAAGGCATCCTCTGTTTGAAAGGCTGCCTGGTCAAACTTCAGTTTAAAGACAAAGGGAAAGCAGGAGGGCCATTGAAGGGGCAGCAGACTAAGCAGGCATGCAGCTCACTTGGTCAAAGTCCTTCCGTCTACGGTAAGATGCATTTGTGTTTCAGTTATAGTCCTTGTTTCTGCATTTGCATCTATAAATATGCATTAGCTCATGCAATTTTGTGCAGATGAATCTCCTCTTCTGCTCTCTTTCTTTGCCACGTTTTTGGAAGTGCTGGATGAATTGGTCGACTTTGGATACTGGTTAATTCTCTCCCCCCCCACCCCCCGTCCATACACACATTCTGATAGGTATGCTGACCAGCAACTTGGACTTTAGAATCACAGTGCCTGACAGCATCACTGCACAGCGAGGCTTCTGCATCCATGTTCCCTGCAGTTTTACTACTCCCGATTGGTACAAGCGCAGCTCTGAGCCCCTGTATGGCTATTGGTTTAGGATTACGGATCGGCAGACCAATTTGGAAGGGACCAACATCTGGGTCCCGGGTGAACTTAAGGCCAGCAATGATGAAAGGCAGAGATTACTTAAACTTCATTCCACTCATATGAAGTTATGAGGGGATCCAGAAAAAGGCGACTGCTCGTTCACCATCATCAACGCTGGACTCGATGACTGGGGCCAGTACTACTTTAGAATTGATAAAGGAGAGAGCTACAGATACTCCTTTAATCCTTCCAGTTCTCAAACTCACACTAATCCTCAGGTTGTGCTGACAGGTAGGTGGCTTTCCTATTAGGGGCATGCATAGGATTCAGACAAATCCCAAAGCCTGAGTTTGAAGCATCCCGCTTCAAAATGATTCGGAGTTTGTCTGAAGCAAAGCAGGAAGGATCTTTCCAAAGAGCCCCAAGCCAAAGCAAGACTCTCTGAAGCATTTCATGACACGGTAATTCAGATATTTGAAAGTTGTGCAGTCAGTGTGTCTGCAAACATGGAAACACTTCTCCCCAGGCTTACCATATAAGGAAAATGCAAGGGGGGAAATGGAGAGCTCTTTTGTGACTGACATGTCTACTCGGAGGTAAAGAGGGCTTTCCAATCACAGTATTTGCAAGGAGTGAGATGTATCACATTGTCCTTGTCTGTTCTCTGCTCTTTTGCTAGTTCTGCTCATGGTTCTTGCTTGGAACATGCTGGACATTCAAGTCCTTCTGCCTCTGGGCTCCATGCCCTCCCATCCACTCTGGTGAAATCATCTTTGCCCTTTGATTCCTATCGAGCAGAACACAACCTGGAGCTGTTTCCCATCCCATTTGTCATATTTCTGTAGCCTCAGCACCCACAGTGTGAGAAGGACATTGCCCTTGTGTCCTGCTGGTGGGAATTTTCAGAAGCATCTGGTTGGCCACCCTAGGAAATAAGGTGATGGACTTGATAGGCCATTTAGTCTTGAGTTCCACTGAAATTAATGTGGCTTAAGGAAATCACAACTCATATTCACATTGATTTCAATCAAACCAGAGTACAGTGGTACCTCAGGTTACATATGCTTCAGGTTACATACGCTTCAGGTTACAGACTCTGCTAACCCAGAAATGGTGCTTCAGGTTAAGAACTTTGCTTCAGGATGAGAACAGAAATCATGCTCTGGTGGCATGGCAGCAACAGGAGGCCCCATTAGCTAAAGAGGTGCTTCAGGTTAAGAACAGTTTCAGGTTAAGAACGGACCTCTGGAACAAATTAAGTACTTAACCCGAGGTACCACTGTATGACTAACTTGTCATGGATCTATCTCAATATTTGTTGCCCCACCCCCCTTTTTTAAAAAAAGTTGTTGGTTTCACTTTGTGCTGACGTTTTCATCACAGTTTTAACATTTGATCTGTCTCTTTTCATTACATATGGTTTTATAATTTTATTGGCAGCTGACTTGTGAGTTCACTGAACAAAAAGACCAAGTAGAGATTGAGTTGAGTTAAAATAATAATAATAAATATCATTGCCCTGGGATTTTGCTGCATTAAGGCGCATTGATGTGCACATAATGGGCTCTCAAATGTGTGGCCAGGAGGCTCTTGAGAACAAAAGGATGACAACCTTGTTGGGAGTTAAGAATGGCAAAGCGACAATGACTGGGAAATCCCATCCTTAAGCCAGGGCTCATGTATCTTACCCAATGCCCAGTGAATCTTCTTCTAATTCCTCCCTGGGGATTCTCACTCATTTAGATCTGAAGAAGCCCAAAATCATAAAGCCACATGAAGTGATTTGGGAGAAGCCAGCCACTTTCAGATGTACAGCAGCAGAAATGTGCCCAGGGACTAAGCCCCAAATCACCTGGCCTACACAACATATCCATGGAATACTCAACAGAGCAATTGGAGCTCGACCTATGGAGTTGACATCACCTTCAAGCCCAGCTTAGCTGATGATGGCATAGTCCTTACCTGCAGCATCAAATACCATTTCTTGAAGAAAGCAGTCCACGTAGCCACCCGCCTTTCCTTTGGCTGTGAGTAGCTCTTTGTTTTCTTTCCTCTCCCTGCATCCCAATCCACAAACGCTCAGCAGCTCCCTGAAGATCAGATCCCCCCCCCCCCGTTTTGCCCTTTGGTTTCCCACGTCTCCTTTTTGGTGCTTTCAGCACCCACATTTTGACAAGGGGGACCTGTATCACAATGTTGCAGTGCACCTCATCCTCTAAGACATCCCTTGGGCCACATACAAACCTCTGCCTAATTTGATGCAGAAGCTCATCATCATCATCATCTTGCAATTTTCAGTCCAAGTGACTCTTCGAGAAGGCAGGGGTTTTTTTTGCCAGTTTTGAACAGGATTGATAATGGCATTTTCTAGGAGAATTCAGATCAACAAGAGCACAAGGTTACCCTTCCCTTCCTATCTCAGAACATGAAGGAATGTATGTACTCATTTGTTCTTGCCAGCAATTTTACACATGCTTAAAGGAACAGGGAATAGACCACAGGCTACATTGTCTGTCCTAAATTGAGATGAAACCAATTTCCTTCTCTCTCTCTTTCTCTGGGTGCCTTCAGCCTGTCTCTAGCGTATTTTGTGCAAGGGATTCAAGCACATACCAGAAATCTAGGTTTGCACAATTAAAGTGGATTGAAGTGCTCTGCCTCCTAGTGGAACAAACACACTTAAAAATGTTATACATTTTTAAAAAACTATGATACCACTTTAAACAGTCATGGTTCCCTCTAGAGAATTGTGGAAGCTGTACTTTGTTAAGGTTGCTGAGTATTGTTAGGTGACCCCTATTCCCCTCCCAGAGCTACAGTTACCACAGCAGTTTAGCAGTCAATCCCTCTTCCCAAGATACTCTGGAAATAGGCAATAGAACAAAAAATAATAATACCCCCATCTCTCTTCCTCCCCTCTCCTTTCCCCCGCCTGCAAGATGTCTATGACAAAAGTGTCTCTCATCAAATGCAAAGAAGCTTTGAAAAAGATTCTATTGAAAGTGGAATTGAAAGTGGAGACAATAGATGTACCTTTCCCGGTTTCTCTGTTTGCTTTGTAACACAAATAAACCTTAATCAAAAGAACTTTTTTTAAAAAAAGTGTGATGTGCACATCCACATCACAGATTTAAAGCGTTCTCAATACCACTTTAACAGTCATGGTGTTGCCCAAAGAAACCTGGGAACTGTAGTTTGTTTAGGGTGCTGGGAATGGTAGCTCTGCAAGGGCCCTCCTAACAACACACAGAACCCTTAGCAAACTGCAGTTCCAGGATTCTTCAAAGGGGACCATGACCGTTAAAGTGGCGTAACAGTGTGTGGCTGTGACATAGCTGTCAACCGTCCCTTATTTGGCAGGAAACTCCCTTATCCCAGTGCTGTTTCCCGCTGCTGTCCCGGATTGATGATGTCCCTTAAATTTCCCAGGTTTCAAAGGAAGCAGCTCCTCTCTCTCCCTCCCTCCCTGCCAGCCAGGGAGGAAGGAGGCTCCAACTGTGTTGCTTGGCTGCATTGCTCAACGAATAAGGAGTCTAAGAATGACTAGAGGGTGGAGCTTGCATGCCTTGTGCCAATCAAATTGGTTGTGTTGCCTGGGGACTCGCCTTTGCTCAGCACTTCCCAGGGGAGAGGTGATGGTGGTTTTCCTTGCTGCATCCCCTTTGCCGGGTTGCTGCGCTGTGGGAACCACCACTTGAGGCTTTGTTTGGCTGCTGGTTGATTAAAATCCCTTATTTTGGCTGCTGATCCCTTATTTTCGAGGCTGCTGGTCCCTTATTTTCAAATCTGTAAGTTGACAGCTATGGGCTGTGACCTCTGTATAAAACAAACTTTATTTGCTTCCGCTGCCCCAAAGCCTCTCACTCTCTGTTGTAGCATTGTAAGACATGTTAATAGTTCTGAATTTGACTCATTCACCCCAGCTTTTTGTTGTTTTCCAGATAGGCCTACAGCCAGCACCATCCTGCCTAATGCTACATGTGAGAATGAGGACCGAGGCCACCGTTACACCTGTTCTTTCCACTGCTGGCCTCCACCAACACTTACGTGGGAAGTGGACGGGGTAACCGTCACTGGGAACAGAGGAACGGAAACACAAGTGACATGGAGGTCTTACAGTGGGCTGAGGGCAATGCGGCGAGCAGCACCCTGCTGTGGAAAGGAGCCTCCATTGACCACCATGACCCCTTCATCACCTGCACGGCAACCAACCCCTTTGGGAAGCAGACAATGGTGATCCTACCTGGGTCCAATGGAACAAGCATCTCCTGCCCCAGACTTCACCTTTAAGTCCTGTGCATGCTAACATTTACAAATCTCCAAGACAGGCAGACTTGGGTGGGCAGCCCTAGGCACACTTTTACTGGTAATAGGCACCACTGAACATAGCAGGACTTCCTTCCAAGGAAACATGCATCCCATTGTGCTGTTTGGCTTCATCCAAGGCAAGGATGGGGTTCTTTTCTCAGCCCAGGGGCCACATTGCCTCAATGCACTGGACACTGAGGTCCAGTGCTGAGGGCCTTCTGGCGGTTCCCTCGCTGTGAGAAGCCAAGTTACAGGGAACCAGGCAGAGGGCCTTCTCGGTAGTGGCACCTGCTCTGTGGAACGCCCTCCCACCAGATGTCAAAGAGAAAAACAACTACCAGACTTTTAGAAGACATCTGAAGGCAGCCCTGTTTAGGGAAGCTTTTAATGTTTAATAGACTATTGTATTTTAATATTCTGTTGAAAGCCACCCAGAGTGGCTGGGGAAACCCAGCCAGATGGACGGGGTATAAATAAATTATTATTATTATTATTATTATTATTATTATTATTATTATTATATCTGCCCTTCCATCATGTCACTTCTCCCTCACATTTTCTCCAAACTTGGAAACCTCTCCTTGTGGGAGAGTTGCCCCTTCACCATTTCCGTTGCCCTTTTCTGAACTTTCTCCAACTGAGAAAAACTACACCCAGGTAAAACCTTTCCAGCACTGGAAATGCAGGTATATTCGAAAAATGAATCGTGAACAGCACATTTCACTGAAAATGAAATGCTTGCTTATGCTGCAGTTTTGAAGCCAAACTTAATTACCTTTGAAGTTCATTTAATGATGATAATGAACTAAAGATGATAAATACCTATCAGGCTTTCCAAGATATACACACCCACATACACAGAACAGTTATCCCACAGGCTGCAAGCAGGGCTCCCCTGGATTTAATGATGCCTTTAATTAATCAAGCAACTAATCATAATTAATTGATAATCAGATTTAATGCAGGCAGTTCAGAACACAAGCACACACTATGCACAGCTTGCAGGCTTAACATATAGAATAAGAGAACAAGAAGAACATACATTTAGAGAAAATTGGAAAACGTTTATTGAATATATAGGGGGGAACTGTGTGCACTTGAAAAGGTTGGCAGCATTAAGATAAATGCAACAGTGTAAATAAGTTTTGACGGATGTGGTAATGGAATACTGAATGGTTTAGTTTATGTAAAATATGCAGGGATTTATGATTTGCAAAATGAAGCATGGAGAGAGAAGAAGGGAAGTCATTGATATTTTAAGTATCTTTAATTAATGCATTCCTTCATGGGTAACCTCCTGGGGCATGATGGCCAGAGGCAAATGTGGATGTGATTCTTCCCTTTGTCCAATGGGCTACATTCCAGCCACACAGCAGTCAGAGATGTCTACGCAGACATGCACAGGCACACCTCTCTAACAAGGGAAGCAAGAGGCATTCTCACAATTCAAGCGGCAGTTGTTGGTGCCCATTGGGAGTGGTAGGGTGGAAGGCAAGGAGACCGGCAGTAGGTGGCGCCAGAGCCAATGAGATGCAGAGATAAACTCAGCCTAGTTTTGCTGGGATTAACGAGAAGGAAGATGACAGTCCGGTTGCAGGTAGGAAGGCAGGACGGCTGGGGGGAACTGAAGGCAGAGTGAGGCTGATGGGGCAGTGCCACACTTGCCACAGTGGACCGGCCTCCACAGAAGTCAAGGAAACATTCTAGCCAGGCATAAGAACCCAAGGAAAGTTTCAAAGCAACATTGGTGAGGATCACAATTGGGAGGGCCCCAATGGTGAGATAGAGAGATTGAGGTGGAGGGATACATTAGGACCTGGGTCTGAGCTTCCCCTCCCCAGTCCAAATTGCTTTAGCCGCTGTATTTTTATGCTAAATTTAGTGGTTGGGGCCTTTTGTTGGTTGACTGGGCTTCCTATTTTGTGATGGATTGGGGCCTTGCCAGCACGGAAGTGGCTTTCTGGTTTTACAGAGCATTCCTGGAGGCCAGCACAACTTACTCCTATTCCAAACTCCACTGAGAGAATCTCTAAGGAAGGCTTGCTGAGCCAGTAGGTGAGCAAAAGCCCATGTTGTGAGGATTCGGCCCTAGGTCAATGTGGTCAAGGTTTGGAATAGGTAGAGGTCTTCTCCTTTTTGTCCCCCATGCAACTCTTTCAGAATGCCCATTTGGGGAGGACATATGACAGCGTAAGTTACACCAGGTGAACCCCCCACACTGAGTTCAGGGTGAGGGCCTGGCATCAGTGGAGCCCCAACTCAGCAAGGAAAGACAAAGAACTGTTAAATCTCTGGCCTCATGGCAGATCTTGGGTTTGCATTGTGCTGTTATTATTGTGTGAGGGTTTTTTTTGTATTTTCCTAGTGTATGTCAACTGCCCAGAGAACTTGATTGGATGGGTAGCATATAAATATATTAAATCAACTTTTACAGACGGCCCTCCATCACCACCTTATGTGAAGGTGAAGATTCCTTGGGTCATTTCTGGGATCACTCTTGGGTCCTTGAATCTGCTGACTGTTGTTGTGGCCCTGGTTTACCTTGGCACAGGTGAGTATTGTGGAGAGGAGGCTCTATCCTCTCCTCCCTCAGTTGTGGCTGAGTGAGAAAGGCATGTCAACTCCCAGTTGCCTATCCATGGCATAAAAATCCTTTATTTACCCTTGAGGTGACCCATCTCCCTCTACACCAGGAGGTGTCTATCACCTTCCCTAATGTCCATAAAGGTATCACTCTGTTTACCTGTAAAATGTGACTTTGGCTTTCATAGGTCAGAAGGAGCCAAGTGTTGCTCAGTCCTGGGGCTGTCTTAAGCATATGCGGCACCGGGGTGCAAAGATCTGCCCAGCGCCCCCACCCCCACCCCCAGGTTGCCCAGTCCCAGGCGTGCAGGAGGGCGGAGCCAGCCAACACCTCAGTGTCTCACTGGCTCGGTCGCCCCCAAACTCGTGCTGCAGAGCCACCCGCAGCAGAAGAGCCCACCTCGGCGCTCCGACCAATGGGTGGTCTCTTCCCTGGACTCAACTCTCGGGCCCCAGACTCTCAGCCTGGAGCCCCTGAGTGCCAGGCGCCCAGGTGCCCTGCACCCCTAGCGTCTATGGGTAGGACAGCCCTGCTCAGTCCAACCTGGGAGAAGGAGTTCTGAAAAACTGAGCTGCTCTATGCAGCTTTTGTTCATAGCATGGGGAATATAGGTATAGTGGAACCTTGGTTCTCGAACGGCTTAGTTGACGAACAAATTGGCTTCTGAATGCCAAAAACCCAGAAGTAAGTGTTCCAGTTTTTTAACATTTTTTTAGAAGCCAAACGTCCAACACGGTTGAGTGCAGGAAGCTCTTACAGCCAATCGGAAGCTGCACCTTGGTTTTTGAATGGTTTCGGGAGTCGAACGGACTTCCGGAATGAATTAAGTTCAAGAACCAAGGTTCCACTGTCTATAAATAGAGATTTCCTAGATGCCAAGTTCCAGGTTTGGGGCAAATACTCTTTGCTGAGAGTAGCGCACAGAAACGCCGTTTACCTTCCCGCCAGTAAGCGGTCCCTATTTATCTACTTGCACCCGGGGGTGCTTTCGAACTGCTAGGTTGGCAGGCGCTGGGACTGAGCAATGGGAGTGCACCCCACCGCGGGGATTCAAACCGCCGACCTTTTGATCGGCAAGGAGGTACCACTGTACTAAATAAGGAACAGGGTGATGTTCTTAGAGGGACACCTGTGTCACTATTGAAACTGCTCTTAGTACCCCAAAGTTCATAGGATGGAGCAGGAAACTGAAATAAAATACGTAGCCAGACTAAGGGTGGGCCTGAGCATAAGGAATGGCTTTAATGCCTATGATTTTCTTCCCTCCAGTGTCCAAACATCAGGTTTACAGGCATCATAGAGATATGGCATCATAGAGATTACAGGCATCGTAGAGATGCGACTGAGGTTTCTACGATGGATGCTGCCATTTCCCGTTCAGTGCAGGTCCGGCATTGAGTGGGTCATATGAAATTAATTTACCATGACATGCTAGCTATTGTTTCATATTTGCATTCACAGCCCAAATATGCACAGTAGAGTAACTTCCCTGTGCTAGTAAGCAAAGAATAAATCCATTTTGGCTTGTGGAACATTCTCCATCCTGATTCAATTGCTTTATTTACCGCAAGTCTTTCTTCCATTTTGTAGGCCACTGACGGGGAAATATACATACTTTAGTGTATTTAAAACATATTAATAGCAGGTAACAGCCAAGCATATATCAAGCCATCAAAAGATATTAACAAGCCAATTTCCAGCCCTGCATGATGCTTTTCCAAGTTAATGAATTTCCAGAGGGGCAGCCGGTGTTAGTCATTTGCAGTAAAAAAGAAAGGGGGGGGGACAAAGAGCCTTGTGGCACCTTGGAGACAAAGGGCTAATGACAGCAATTCTAACCATGTCTACTCAGAAGTAAGTCTCACAGTCAGAAGCTGCTGTGTTGACCTGTTGGATAGGCACCTTATGAACAGAGGGGATTAGGTACCTTCAGGGATTTTGGGGGAAATAGACCATTGCAACTTTTGATACCATGTTCCCTGATCTGCAACTCATCAGGGAGCAGGAAGGCCTAAGGGATGGGGGGGGGCAGTTTCCATTTCCGCAGACCTGATGCTGATGCCAGCCAGGACAGAAGAGCCCATTGTTGTGCCTGTTGCATGATTAAAAATGAACCAAAAACAAGCCCCTGTGTTGCAATAGCACAACAAAAGGACAGTGTCTCCGGAATGATGCTACTGTTTTGTAATAGTCTTCATCAGCCGATATTTTTCGACAGAATATATAAGTAAGATTCATGCTAAGGATCAGTGCCTTTTTGGAGTAAATATTTGGTGTATATAAGAGATAATTGTAAATCTTTAAAGACACTGGCAGGGTTTGATTAACTTCAACAGCATATGGTTAATTAGATAAACGAATAAAGTACGAGATGAAATGAAACTATAAGATACTTACCGAAGGGGGGGGGGAGGAAGTCTGAAGCTCGGCAGAGCTAAAGGTGATATATGAGAATTTTTTTGTATAACAAATGTACATAAATGTACTCTGATTGAAAATCAATAAAAATCTATTTTTTTATTTAAAAAAAAGGATCAGTGCCTTTTGAGGCTTTTGAGGCGTCTTCCGTTGAAACTTTTGAAAAACTATTGAGAGACCTTACT